GGGCACGAACCCGTATCCCCTGCATCGGCAGGCGGACTCTCAACCACTGCGCCACCAGGGAGGCCCCCCAAATGTCTTTTTATGTTAGTTTCTATATTTTCTATCCTTTTCCCCTCCGTGCTTCCCTTCTAGATATTTTCTATTAACGAGTCTTCTAATTCATTAATTTTCTGTTCTGCTAATCTTATCTGTTGTTTAACCCATCAGTTAATTTAGTTGGCTTATTTTTCAGTTCTAGAATTGCCATTTGATTTTTCTTCAGAAATAATTCGATTTTTCTGGTAAAATTCTGTCAGTCTGTTTTCATTTTTTCCTCTCTCATTTTTTTCAGTCTTCTTTGTTTTATTTTGTAACACTGTCAAACTTAAAGAAATAACTTAAGTATATCATGAAGACCTTTTTTGGGGGGGGGGGCGTCATTTGAAAATAAGTATAACTGATTCACTTTGCTGTACAGCAAAAACAAACACATTGTAAAGCAGCTATACTCCAATAAAAATTAATATAAAAAAGAATGAAGATAAGTAAATATATACATAAATAAATAAAATAAAAATAAACACATACCCCCCAAAAAAGAAAAAAAGTTGCTGACACCCTATTACCCACAAATATTTTCATGAATATTTTTCTCCAAGACAGTTATTTTCTCCTTCATAACCATAAGGTGTAGCTGTTTAATCATGAAATTAATTGATACATTTCATGCATTATTACCTAATCCTCAGCCCCTATTCAAATTGACCACTTTTTATAACAGAAACTCCTGTCCAGAATCACAAGTTTCATTTATTGCATTTCCGTTTTCCATTGATCTGGAACAGTTCCTCAGTCTTTTCCTTAATTTTCATGACCTAAATATGTTTGGAGATTACAAGTCAAATAGTTTGTCCAGTGTCCCCCAATTTGGATTTATATGATGTTTCTTTGTGATCAGATTGAGGTTATATATCTTTAGTAGGAATATCACAGAAGTGATTGTGTTCTTCTCATTTCATCCTTTCAGTTAGCACACAAGTTTGATTTGTTTTACTACCTGTAACATTCCCTTTCGTATCTTATTAGTGTGGCATCTTCCCAGCTTGTCCACTGAAAAGTTTTCACTTGGTAATTGCTGTGGGTTGAATTGTGTACCCCAGAAGATAATGTTGAAGCCCTAACTCTGGTATATGTGAAAATGACCTTACTTAGAAATAGGGTCTTTACAGATGTACTTAAATTAAGATGAGGTTATTAGGATGAACCTTAATCCAATATAACTGGTGTCCTTGTAAGAAGATGGAAATTTGGATACAGATGCACACAGGAATAATATCATGTGACAACCAAGACAGATATTGTAGTGATGCATCTGCAAGCCAAGGAATTCCAAGGGTTGATGGCCACTGCCAGAAGCTAGGAAAAGGCAGGGAAGGATTCTGGTCAGTCGTAGAGGGATCATAGCCCTGCTCACACTTTGATTTTGGACTTTTAGCCTCCAGAATTATGAGACAATAAATTTCTGTTGTTTTAAGCCACTCAGCAATAAAGTACCACAACACTAGGAAATCATACACTAATTAATAAGTGTCTTGTGGGGAGGTGTTTTGAAGCTATGCAAATATTTTGTTCCTCTTCAAAGTTTCAGTTTATTCATTTATTTATATCAGTATGGACTCAGTCATATTTAATCAGTGTTCTAATTCATTACTAACTACTGATTCATTGCAAAGTAATTATTTTGATGCTCAGATTGTCCCAGTGGGAGCTCCTCTCAAGCCGCTTTCTGTGTTCTTTTGACATATCCCCATCATTTTTTGAGCGTTTCCAGGTTCATCTTGCACTTTTCTGTCCAGCCCGGGAATCAGTCGTTTCTCCAAAGAGCCTTGGTTCCTTTTAGTGAAAAACCATATTTTGAAACCAAGATCTGAGTACTAGGTGCACTTATTATTATTGGGATATCACTGCTTCCAGACCATATCAGTGTACAGAGGTAGGAAATGTGTGTGTGTGTGTGTGTGTGTGTGTATTTAACCTATATACACACATTTACATCTATATATATTTCTGTATCTGTCTATATATGTCAAAAACCATGAGTTCACACTATTATGTCCAATCCCAGTCTAACACTACAAGGTTCATTCTAGTTTTCTCCGTTTCCACATTTATAATTGCTTTTTCTAAAAATGTAAAATCTTGCTCCCCTTATCTTCAACATAATCACTTATTTGATAATTGCCCATGTGTATAGCCAGTTTTCCAGCACTTCCATCCCTCCCAGCCATCTCTGTTGGCTTTCTTTTTATTTCACTTAGGCTTCAGCATCCCATGCAATGCCTTCCTCCCATGCAGTCATTTTCCTCACCCTATTTTGGCTCCGTTACCTAACCTAGGCGACCAAGGCTTCCCTTCAACTCTTGCTAATGAATTTTGGGCTGAATTGTTCAAGATGGGATTTTCTATATTTTCTTGAACGTATAAATCATAGCTATTTGGGTTTTGCTAGGTAATTCCAATGTTGGCTATACTTGTTTTGAGTCTGTTCATAGTGTCTGTCTTTTCTTTTATCTCTTGGCATGCTTGCTAATTTTTTATTGAATACTGAACATTGTATATGAAAATACTTCTGGAGTCTCAGTGATTTCTCTTTCTCCAGAAAGAATTCACCCTTTCCTTTGCTAGGCAGATATTGTGAGACCTTATCATATATATACTTTAAAATTTATTTATTTTTTATGTATTTATTTTGGCTGCGTTGGGTCTTCATTGCTGTGCACAGCTTTCTCTAGTTGCAGTAGGTGGGGGCTACTCTTCACTGTGGTGCATGGACTTCTCGTTGCAGTGGCTTCTCTTGTTGCAGAGCACAGGCTCTAGGCGCACAGGCTTCAGTAGTTGTGGCCCGCGGGCTCTAGAGCACAGGCTCAGTAGTTGTGGCACATGGACTTTGTTGCTCCATGGCATGTGGGATCTTCCCAGACCAGGGATCGAACCCGTGTCCCTTGCATTGGCAGGCGAATTCTTAACCACTGCGCCACCAGGGAAGTCCAAGAGCTAATCATATTAATCAAATCTGAAACTGAACTGACTTCGGGCTGAATTGCAGTTTGGGCAAACTTTTGATTTCCTGTGGTTCATCCAGCTTCTAAGTCACAGATTTTTCCCACTGAGAGCCTGTGACATCACTAGGGCCCCTCCATCGTTGTGTGATTTGAATGCTAATCCTTGTCTCTTCTGTACCATGAGTCTATGTTTAACTCTGCTTTGCTTTTCAGAATTTTTCTGCTTGACTTCTTTAATTCCCTCTTAAGCAAGCTTCATAATTCAGCAAATACCTTTTTTTTTAATTGGAGTATAGTTGATTTACAGTGTTCTGTTAATTTCGGGTGTACAGCATAGTGATTCAGTTATACATATACATATGTTTGTTCTTTTTCAGATTATTTTCCCCTGTAGGTTATTACAGAATACTGAGTAGAGTTCCCTGTGCTATACAGTGTGTCCTTGTTGGTTATCTATCAGCAAACATCTTGAAGGAAAAACAATAGCATATTGTTGAGCCAGTTCTGTCCTTCCTCTTTCATCAAAATTTTGGCCTTTCTAATTTTTTCTAATTTATCTCTACAGGCCAGCAAGTCTTTTAAAAGTTCTCCTTTTTCCTTTTGCCTGAATTCTCAAATTCTTGCCTAGCTCCCCCAAATCAGCAGGACCCTGAGAGAAAAAGCAGCTGCAGAACGTCAGCTTGACTCTCCTCATGGTTTCCCCCTGCTATAGAATTTGCCACTTGGGTTCTTGTTGCCTTAGCACTCTACAGTACGTTCAAATATGTGTGTGTGCACGTGCGTGCGTGCGTGTGAGTGTGTATAGATAGGTATGTGTATATATCTGGCTTTTCTAGTTGTTCTTGATGGGAGCATTGCTGTGCTACAAACTACTCAATTATGAAACAAAATCTCAATTCTAGCATATTATTTTCCGTTCCACTCCATTTTTAAAATAATGCTTCGTGTTCAACCAACCAAAATGATGCCACAATCTAATGTTCCAAGACCCTTAACAAAAAAAAAGACACACAGCTTCAAGACACTGGCAATTAAGATAATCAGATGAATAGGATTTAAGCCAGATGATCAAGGTTAACAACAACAGTGGTACATTGTATGTACCCTTGATATGACGTGATGACAATCACACTTTACCTCTGTGGTCTTCCTCCCCAAAACCCATAACCCCAGTCTAATCATGAGAAAAACATTAGACAAACCTCAGTTAAGAGACAGTCTACAAAATACCTGACCAGTACTCTTCAAAACTGTCAAGTTCATCAAAAACAAGGAAAGTCTAACAAACCATCACAAACAAGAGAAGCCTAGGAGATGTGACTACTAAATTATGGGATCCTGGAATAGAAAAAGAACATCAGATAAAAACTGAGGAAATATGCATAAAGTATGGGCTTTAGTTAATAATAATTATCAAAATTGGTTTATTAATTGTGACAAATGTATCATGCTAATGTTAGGTGTTAATAATAGGGAAAATTGGGTGTGGGTTATATGGGAACTCTATTTTATCTTCACAGTAATTTTGTACACCTAAAACTTTTAAAATAAACAGTTTCTTTTTTTAAAAAAAATCAATAGTATTTGACCTCTCAGGCTATGCTTTATTTATTGATTTGATTTTTGTCTTCTTAGTCATTGCTGTATCTCCAGTACCTAGAAGAGTGGCCAGCACATTTAGAGTCTTGATAAATATTGGTTGCTTGGAGGGATACAGGGGAGCAAGGGAGGATGAATTGCAGATAAATTCTAAGTCTCTAACTTGGGCAGCTATGGATGGTAATATTGACTTAGGGAATATAAAAAGCAGAGATTGGAAACTACTCCATGCTTGACAGATGATATTTTCTTGTTTTATACCAGTGATATAGTTAATAATAATGAAGAAATCTGATCAAGTCAAAATGGTAGCTTCTTGGTTACTTCTCAGAGGAGTAAACTCTTCTTTTTCTCTTTTAGGCATATAAAACCTTTGCTAATCGAGTGAACAATTTAAAGAAAAAGCTAGATCAATTGAAGTCAACCCTTCCTGATCCTGAGGAATCACCAGTCCCTTCCCCAAGCATGGATGCTCCCTCCCCAACTGGCTCTGAGTCTCCTTTTCAAGGAATGGGAGGTGAGGAATCCCAGTCACCAACCATGGAGAGTGAGAAATCTGCCACACCTGAACCTGTAACAGATAATCGTGATGTGGAAGACATGGAACTCTCAGATGTGGAAGATGATGGGTCAAAAATCATTGGTATGTCCTATATGATTAGTAGACAACTTGCTCCTTATCTGTTTTGCCTTCCCCACCAATAAATCTATCACAGGCAGGTATTAAAAGATGGTTTAATCCTTATAAAATTAGAACACCAAGGTAGTAGTATTGTCTGTAGAGCAGTGGTTCAGGATTTGGTATGCCACGTACGTTGAGAATCATTGTTTAAGATCTGTGCTGTTCAGGGAATTCCCTGGTGGTCCAGTGGTTAGGAGTCCGTGCTTCCGCTGCCAGGGACCCAAGATCCTGCAAGCCAGGTGGTGTGGCAAAAATAAAAACAAAACAAAATACACACTGGATTCTAGGAACTTGGTGCTTTAAAAAAGAGTGAAAATTATATCATTAATAATTGTTTATATTTATAACTTATTAAAATGAAAATATTTGGGCTATATTGAGATAAGTAAAATATATAATTAAAATTAATTTTACCTGTTTTTCTTTTTTTGATATGGTTACTAGAAAATTTAAACTTACATATGTGGCTTGAATTACATTTCTTTTGAACAGCACTGCTCTAAAGGGAGGGCCACTTATGCTGGAATTCCTTATTCTCTGTCACTCTTGACCTTCAAGATTCCAAAGCCACATTTTGTTAACCACACTTTCAGAATTAACCTGGATTGGTGAATTGTTTCTCTGACATCCCCAGCTTTTATAATTCTTATTAGGCAGTTTGACTTAGGTTGAATTTAATGCGCTATCCACATAGTGCATTGCCTTTAAAGTATTAAGAGGAATGTATTGCAGAGGCATCAAGAGTTAAAACATTGCATTAGTGCCTGATTGCACCCCCAGTAGACCAATTTCAGGAGGCCAAAGGATAATACATTAACATATGTACAGAGTTTCTGTTTCTTAGAAAGCTCTCAGGTTAATAATGGCAAAGAAAAGACAGGACAATTTATGACATAAATATTACTGAAAGACAGAACACAAATGTGTACCAAATAATAACATGCTTCCAGAAATGTACAAATTTAATACACAGATACTAAGAAGATGTAAAGAAATCATTAAATGTAAGATAAAAGATGCATTTGGGGAATTCATTTTAAGCAGCTATTAAAGGTGGGAAGGTTCATAAATTATAAAGAGCATGACTTTTTAAAAAAATCATGAAGTGAATGATTTTTCTCTAAAGCATAGTACTTTTTAGGAAATATTGGGGCATGTTATTTCATATTGGAAGCAGAGTCTGGAAAGTAGTAGGATGCAATACCATCTCTTTTCTTTTTTTAAACAGTAGAAGACAGGAAGGAAAAACCTGTGGAGAAGTCAGCTGTATCCACTGCTGTACCTACAAAGCCAACAGAAAGTATCTCAAAGGCCTCTTCATGTACTCCAGTGCCTGTAACCATGACAGCAACCCCACCTCTTCCAAAGCCTGTGAATACTTCTCTTCTCTCCCCTACTCCAGCACTGGCTTTGCCAAACCTGGCTAATGTGGATCTGGCAAAGATAAGTTCCATCCTTAGCAGCCTGACATCAGTCATGAAAAATACTGGTAAGTAGCCCTAGTAAAGAAGATAAAAGGCTTATTTCCACCTTTCTAATTGAACCATCAATCTGGGTTTTGTTTTTGTTTTTTAATTAAAAGTAACTTTTTAATTAAAAAATAAAAATAGGGATTTCCCTGGCGGTCCAGTGGGTAAGACTCCATGCTCCCAGTGCAGGGGGCCTGTGTTCCATCCCTGGTCGGGGAGCTAGATCCCACATGCATGCTGCAACCAAGACCCAGTGCAGCCATAATTAATAAATACATACATACATACATACCGCTACATGGCCATCGTAGAAAAATTAGAAGATAAGTTAAAAGAATAAAATATCCATAATTCTGCCATCCCGAAGGAAACCACTTGTGTTTAACCTTACAAGTGTGCGTGTGTGTGTGTGTGTGTGTGTGTTTTGGGAAATAAAATGTTAGTAATAATTTTTCTTTCAGTAATTGAAGCATATTGCGTATACAGTCGGTCCTCCATATTCACCGGTTCTGCATCTGCAGGTTCCACATCCAAGGATTCAACCAACCATGGATTGAAAATATTTGGGGGAAAAAATTTTTCAGAAAGTTCCAAAAAGCAAAACTTGAACTTGTCATGCCCCAGCAACTATTTATATAGCATTTACATTGTATTTACAACTATTTATATTGTATTATGTATTATGAGTAATCTAGAGATGATTTAAAGTATATGGAAGGACGGGGACTTCCCTGGCGGTCCAGTGGTTAGGTCTCGGTGCTTTGACTGCCATGGCCCAGGTTTAATCCCTGATCAGGGAACAAAGATCCCGTAAGCCATGTGGCACGGCAAACAAATAAACAAAAATAAATAAATAAAGTATATGGAAGGATATGCATAGGTTATATGCAAATACTATACCATTTTATAAGGGACTTGAGCATCCACAGATTTTGATATATTCAGGAGTCCTGAAACCAACCCCCCATGGGTACTGAGGGACAACTGTACTCTTTTGAAAGCAGCTATTTAAAATTTAACTACATATCATGGATGTTTTTGTAAGTCATTAAACATTCAGCTATATCATTTAATAGCATTCATTAATTTATGTAAGCCTTTATTATCAGAACATCTAGTGTGTTTCCAATTTTTCGCTATTATAAAGAATACTGTAATGAACAACGTTGATGCTAAAATTTTATGCACCACCCTTCTTAAAAGGGTTGATAAGTATATGGGACCTTTTTTAATGGAAGATTTAATAAAGATAAATAAAGTAGAGCCCCTCTACATGCTCGTCACTCATCTTCAACACTGTAAACACATGGCCAGTCTTGTTTCTGCTATGCCCTATCCAATCCTGATTATTTTGAAGAAAATCCCAATTATTTCATTTCATCATAAATAACTAAGTATTTATTTCTGAAAGATAAAGACTCCAAAAAATTCAGCATGTAGGTTTTTAAGTCTTTTCATGTTATAACTAAAATGATCTCCAAAAAACGTACTATTTTATGTACCAAGTATATGAAAGTTCCCATTGTTCCTCAACCTCTCCAACCTGTTTTGTTTTATACTTTGTCAAATTCAGTCTTAAGAAAATTGTTCGTTTGCATTCCTTTGATTAAAGATGTGGTTAAAATTTCTTTCATATGCTTATCATTTTTGTGTGTGAAATACCTGTTTATATTTTTGATTGTTAAAAAAATCAAAAATCATTTCTTCTTTATATACCATTTTTCCTATGTTAAGAATCAACCCAGTATTTTAAAATGTAAAAATGTAAAGATTGCTTGTATAACCTCATTTTAAAGTCCATTTCAAAAGGAAATAACTTACTTATCACATAGAATTATGCAGTGGCCCAGTCTGATCATAATTAGCCAGCAATATCTATTGAGCACTTAGAGGAGTCTGAGGTGTAGGTTCCATTTGGTAGAGAAAAAAAGAAATAGGTTCTCTGGTCTCTTTCTATTGGGACTCTGAAAACTAGTAAATACATATGAAAAAAAAATAACTTAATACTTTTCTAATTTAACAGTGTTCCAAGTAGATAGGAGCAAGTCTTAATCTAATTTTCAGATTTTTTCTTTGTACAAGATGGACAATTTGTGGATCATTCACAGAAGAATTCCTATTGAACATACCATACTCAATTAAGTGACTGGAAAGTATCATGAATTTATAGGTCATTTTGAATTGCATTTTCTTGAGTTAATCTTTCTGCCACCAGGGGTCAGTCCTGCATCAAGACCTTCTCCAGGAACTCCTGCAAGTCCCAGCAACCTCACCAGTGGTCTGAAAACACCTGCACCTGCCACGACAACATCTCATAACCCTCTAGCAAATATCCTCTCGAAGGTGGAGATCACCCCAGAGAGCATTCTGTCTGCTCTTTCCAAAACCCAGACACAGTCAGCCCCTGCACTGCAAGGTAAACTGACATGCGCTAGAGGGACTTGAATCGTGAATATTTGTCTCTGGCTTAATCCTGGATTCCATTTCTGAGGAATCCAAAGCTATGAAATGTATAATACAGTTAAGTCATTATTCTCTTTATCATGTACAAACTGACATTTATAGAATTCTGAAATGTCAAAGCTGAAAGAGACTTTAAATATCCTCTAGTCCGATACCCTCCTCAGGTGAGGAAATTAACACTCAGTGAGATGATGTGACCTGCTTAAGATCACACATCTGTCTGTTCAGTGAAGAGCTGAGACTAAAAGCCAGATTTCTTGACTGGAGTCCAGTATTCTTTCACTTAAACCGTGTATCCCAACCTCTTAGTATAAGTTAGTACATGTTGAGTTCTACACATTTTAATGTTAACTGAAGCTAAAGACAGTAAGAAAGACCAATCTATCAGAACTCTTATGAGACATGATTATCTCTTTTTTTATGTCCTAATGTTTTATAGAGGCCTCTATAGATATCATACCTTTTTTTATTTTCTGCCTAGCTATTATCGCTACCTTATTTGAACCTCTGTCTTCAGCTTTGCTAATTATCTTGTTTTGTGCTAAAACCGTCTGCTTCTAACATTTTTTCATAAAGCTTACCTTGCTCTTTGTTCTCAGACCCTCCAGATACCAACCTCAGTATAATTATGCAGTGAATTACAGCTTCAATATAGTGACTTACTCTTTATCAATAGTTCTCAACCAGGAGCCTCCAGGGGACATTTGGCAATGTCTGAAGACGTTTTTGTTTGTCACAGCTGGGGTCGGGGTCAGGGTGCTGTACCTCTAGTGGGTGGAAGCCAGGGATGCTGCTTAACCCTACAATGCATAGGACAGTCCCAACAACAAAGGAGTATCCCGCCCAAATGTCAGTGGTGCTGAGATCCTGCTTTATATGAATAGAGAGCAGCAGTACAGGTATCTGTTAATTTTCTTATTTCCTAAACTGTTCTGTAAGTGTATCCGCCAGGCACTGTATTATAGTGAGCTTTGTCTTACCATGTAAGAGAATTTTGTTACACATAACTAAATACTGTGAAATAGTAATCCACAGCTCTACATATTGGAACCAGCAAAAGAATTAATGATGATGCTACAGTGCATCTCATACTACTGATTTCAGGGATAATTAGTTTGAGAGATTGGCACGTTTATATGATTTCTCCCTTCCACTCCCTCTTCTATCACCATCCTATAGTTACAGTAAAAATTTTGAACTCGTATTTTAACTTCTTATATAGATATAATACTTAGATCTTAAAGAAGAAGCCTTTTCTTTCAGCAGATTGTAACAATAGTATCATGTGGACCTTCTCATCAGGCGAAATTTGAACAGAACTAGGTGTGTTATGACAAAATGAAAAGTGGGAATCTCAGGAAACAAGCTTTGTGGAATAACAGGGCAGTTTATCACCTTTCAGTTCCTTATGGAAAGTGGAATTCTCCTAGCCTTTTTTATTTATTTATTTTTTTTTTGCGGTACGCGGGCCTCTCACTGTTATGGCCTCTTCCATTGCGGAGCACAGGCTCCGGACGTACAGGCTCAGTGGCCATGGCTCACAGGCCGGGGCACGAACCCGTGTCCCCTGCATCGGCAGGCGGACTCTCAACCACTGCGCCACCAGGGAAGCCCCTCTCCTAGCCTTTTAAAAGAACTGTGTCCGGCAACTTAAATAGATACATTTCTTCATAGACCATAAAGGAAATCTCTTAGAACTTTGCTCTAAATGTGTCACCCACAGCCCTTATTGACCGATTTTCAGCACAAAAGAATGACTTCAGTAGGCAGAGGCCATAGACTATGGTTTAAGATTGAAGAAAAGTAATATTTAGCGGTAAGAGATTATTTCAGCTATTACCAGAAATCTGAGTAGTATCTTTGTTAAGAAGATGGTCTTCTGAAGAATTTATTTCACAACAGCTGAAAGATAATACTGAAATATCTTTTTTAAATCATGATATTATCATATCTCACTTTCCAGTGCTTGGCAACTTCTGGTTTTGGTAAGAGCAGTTACTACTAAGAATTAAACTGTTAGGAAGGGGAAAATTATATAGCCAGGGACCTTTTTGGAAATGAAACATGGATTTTTTTTTTCAGGAGGATAATAACTGAAATAAACAATATTTCAATTATTTGGATATTATCAAACACTGGATAATAATAAAAGCCGTGCATCATTATTTAGAAGTTGATGGCATTTGAAAATGTCACAAGGATGGAGCAACCTTAAAATTCTTAAGACCTTAAATCTCTTAGCAAATAAGGATAAAAATTGAAATTTGGAAGAAACATTAATTGAAGTATCCTATGAAATATTATTTTCTCTCACATATCATTATGAAGGAACAGTTTTAGCATATGGCTGAAAGCTGTAAATTCAGGTGAAGTATACATAAACTTTTCATTTGTGATCAGAAATTGAGGAAATTTTCCAAAATGTGATTGAATATAAAGGACCTTCTGTTATCTCTTTATCAAGTATTTTTCCAAGCATTTTTCTGCAAGAGCAGTTTGCTTTGGTGAACTTCAGTCTTCTTTGCCCCAAAGAGTTCTTTCTCAGTGCTTCTGAGAAGGTTTTGTCTGTCAGTGAGTGGGGTTGAATCTCATCAGTGTCAGCCTGAATAATCCTTGAATTTTCCAAGCTATAAGAAGGGGATTGTATGTTTTCTTGTGAAAGAATCAGTGCCCCAGTGGTCTAGCTGTATAAGCTTTGTGGTGTATGTTTGTATATTTATTATTGCTCATTTTACAACTAAAATTTTTACAACCAAAGCTTTGTTTCCCCAAAGATAACACCAATGTAGCAAGAGATGCTCCTTGAAAAAAGCATCCCAGTTCAAATAAATTCCTGCAATTTGCATATTGCTATCTCTCTCCTGAGAATAACAGTGTAGGTTAACTTGTTAGAGACAGTTGTGGAGGTTGGAAAGGAAGGATAGGGCAGAATATCTATTTGCGTTTAGAGAAACAGTTCCACAGACCAAACATTAAGAAATACTGGCTTAAAGTGTTATTTTAAAAGTAATTTTGCACCCTTTCTTTTCCTGCTTTGTCTTGTTTAAACTGTGAATGATTCTGACACTAAAATCTCCCCCATCCTGTTGCCTTTTATTTTGCCATATTGGACTTGTTTCATGACTACTAGAAACATTTCATTAATTTGCTCTTCTTGTATTGATAAATAGGTCCAGTGTTTTCTATGACATTTAGCCATTACTTGTTTGGTCTGGATTCCCTATGATCTCATATTTTAATATCTATCTAGTTCCCACTGGAATGAATGAGAATATCCAATTAGCCTACATTGTTTTCATTGGAAGGTAGGGAGTTCTTTTTAACTCCTCTAATCTTTGTTTCTACAGGCCTGTCATCTTTACTTCAGAGTGTTACTGGGAACCCAGTTCCATCCAGCGAAGCTGCATCCCAGAGCACTTCGGCTTCCCCTGCCAACACCACAGTCTCTAGCATAAAAGGAAGAAATCTGCCCTCCAATACCCAATCCTTTATTCCGAAAAGCTTCAGCTATTCCCCTAATTCATCAACTTCTGAAGTCTCTTCAACTTCAGCCAGCAAGGCCTCAATTGGGCAAAGCCCAGGGCTCCCAAGCTCTACTTTCAAGCTACCATCCAACACTCTGGGGTTTACAGGTACCCACAATACTAGCCCTGCTGCCCCACCTACTGAAGTTGCCATGTGCCAATCTTCAGAGATCTCCAAGCCAAAGCTGGAGTCAGAGTCCACCTCCCCAAGCCTGGAAATGAAGATCCACAACTTCTTAAAAGGTAATCCTGGTTTCAGTGGCTTAAACTTAAACATCCCAATCCTGAGCAGTTTGGGATCCGGTGCCCCAGCAGAAAGCCATCCCTCAGACTTCCAGCGTGGCCCTACTAGCACATCAATCGACAACATTGATGGAACCCCTGTGCGGGATGAACGGAGTGGGACACCCACCCAGGATGAGATGATGGACAAGCCCACATCCAGCAGTGTAGATACCATGTCCCTGCTTTCTAAGATCATTAGCCCTGGTTCCTCAACACCCAGCAGTACAAGATCACCACCCCCTGGGAGAGAGGAAAGCTACCCTCGAGAGCTCTCCAATTCTGTATCTACATATCGACCCTTTGGCCTGGGCAGTGAATCACCCTATAAGCAGCCTTCTGATGGAATGGAGAGACCATCTTCCCTGATGGACTCTTCACAGGAGAAATTCTATCCAGATACTTCTTTCCAGGAAGATGAAGATTACCGAGATTTTGAGTATTCAGGGCCTCCACCCTCTGCCATGATGAACCTAGAGAAGAAACCAGCCAAATCTATCCTGAAATCAAGCAAGCTTTCTGATACCACCGAGTACCAGCCCATCTTGTCCAGTTATAGCCACAGGGGCCAAGAATTTGGGGTAAAGTCTGCCTTCCCTCCATCTGTAAGGGCCCTCCTGGACTCTAGTGAGAACTGTGACCGTCTCTCGTCTTCCCCTGGGCTTTTTGGTGCCTTCAGCATAAGAGGGAATGAACCTGGGTCTGACCGGTCACCATCACCGAGTAAGAATGATTCATTTTTCACCCCTGACTCCAACCACAATAACTTGTCTCAGTCTACCACTGGGCATCTCAGTTTGTCACAGAAGCAGTACCCAGACTCTCCTCACGCAGTTCCACATCGTTCCCTTTTCTCTCCGCAGAACACCCTTGCAGCTCCCACGGGCCACCCACCCACGTCAGGCGTGGAGAAAGTCCTGGCCTCCACCATTTCCACCACATCGACGATTGAGTTTAAGAATATGCTTAAAAATGCCTCACGAAAGCCCTCAGATGATAAACATTTTGGCCAGGCCCCCAGCAAGGGCACTTCAAGTGATGGAGTCAGTCTCTCAAACCTCTCCCAGCCCAGCTTGACAGCCACTGATCAGCAGCAGCAAGAAGAGCACTACCGCATAGAGACCCGAGTGTCCTCCTCCTGCTTAGACTTGCCTGATAGTACGGAAGAAAAGGGGGCCCCTATAGAGACCTTGGGTTATCATAATGCATCCAATAGGAGGATGTCAGGGGAGCCAATACAGACTGTAGAGTCCATCCGAGTTCCTGGGAAGGGAAATAGAGGACATGGGCGTGAGGCTTCAAGGGTGGGTTGGTTTGATCTGAGCACCTCAGGCAGCTCTTTTGACAATGGCCCCTCAAGTGCCTCTGAGTTGGCATCCCTTGGGGGTGGGGGCAGCGGAGGCCTCACTGGCTTTAAAACAGCACCATACAAAGAACGAGCACCCCAATTTCAGGAAAGTGTCGGCAGCTTTCGTTCCAACAGTTTCAACTCAACATTTGAGCATCATCTCCCCCCGTCCCCATTGGAACATGGGACACCCTTCCAGAGAGAGCCAGTGGGGCCATCATCTGCCCCACCTGCCCCTCCTAAGGATCATGGTGGTATCTTCTCTCGAGATGCACCCACTCATCTACCCTCTGTGGATCTTTCGAACCCCTTCACAAAGGAGGCAGCCCTGGCCCATGCTGCCCCACCTCCTCCTGGAGAGCACAGCGGAGTTCCTTTCCCCACCCCACCCCCTCCTCCGCCCCCTGGGGAACATAGCAGCAGTGGCGGGAGTGGCGTCCCTTTCTCCACTCCTCCTCCTCCTCCGCCTCCTGTTGACCACTCTGGGGTTGTACCCTTCCCGACCCCACCACTGGCAGAGCACGGAGTGGCGGGGGCTGTGGCAGTATTTCCCAAGGACCATAGTTCCCTCCTTCAAGGGACCCTGGCTGATCATTTTGGGGTGCTCCCAGGACCCAGGGACCATGGGGGCCCCACCCAACGGGACCTCAACGGCCCTGGCCTTAGCCGTGTACGCGAGAGCCTGAGCCTACCCTCCCTTTCTCTGGAGCACTTGGGCCCAGCCCATGGAGGAGGAGGTGGGGGAGGCAGCAGCAACAGCAGCGGCCCCCCCTTGGGTCCCTCACACAGAGACGCCATCAGCCGGAGTGGTATGATCTTGCGGAGTCCCCGGCCAGACTTCCGGCCTAGGGAACCTTTTCTCAGCAGAGACCCTTTTCACAGTTTAAAGAGACCCAGGCCACCTTTCGCTAGGGGCCCTCCGTTCTTTGCACCAAAACGCCCATTCTTCCCTCCCAGGTACTGATGGAAACTAAGGGAAAGGCATTTTGAACAGTCTAGAGAGAATTGGAAGTAGGAGTTTGGTTTATTATTGTTGTTTTTGTTTGTTTTCCCTCCTTTGATTTATTTTTTCTTTTTTTTATTATGACAGAGGACCTCCCTTCCAAATTAAAAAATCCCATGTGCATATGCCCACATTTCACTATTCCATCCAGTCCTGCCTCCCACTGCACTTACACCCACCTTCTCCAACTTGTTTGTATTTTAAGGGGGTGGGGGGCAAAGAAACACAACCAAAGCCACTTCATTTGGCTGGGGGCTTGAGGGGTGGGGAGGAAAACAGCTCTTATCTTACCCCATCTATGGAAGAGTATTATTACATTTGAAATAAAACTTCCATCAGTACAGATAATAACACGTGCAATGTTGGGATGTTATTTTGGGCTTGGCATGTCAAAAGTAGTCAGTGGAAGGATTCCTGTCCCCTCCTCTCTCCAGCTCCGTTACTGCTGTAACCAGTGTGGCTCTCTTCCCTGTATGCTCTGTGGCCTGCTGACAGCCAGGAGATGTTGCAGGGGAGAAATGTGGGAGACCTTGGACCTGTCAAGTTGTTTTGTTCTGCTTTGTTTTGTTTTTAAAGGCATGTTGCAGTTGAGTACTTTACCTGTCTCCTAAAATCTAAAGCTTCTTTTTTTTTTCTTCTTTTTTTCCTCTTCTAAAGTACTATCAGGCAGTAACTTTGAGGAGATATGGACCTCATTTTATCCTAGTAAAAAATTTTCCTCTTTATACTTGGAGTGAAAGAAAGGGGGCTGGATATAATTTAAAGGTTAAAATACGGAGTAGCTACAATATAGAGAGCTAGAGAAAGGAACTGTTAAATGGTGTGTTGTGACCTGCCCATCTGTCATAAACAAGGAAACATTTCTGAGGTAGTTTCACACATCTTGCACCAAGCTCTTGCTTCCTGCTTTTCTTTCTTGACTTTTTCCTCCCTCAGTTTTCATTTCTGCTTTAGCCAGAGAGAAAGTCACTACAGTTGACAATTGATATGAAGGTGTAACTGAAATGTTATCAAATATTATCCCTGTATTTTTTAATAAGAAGACATTTTTACCATGGTGTCTTCCTAACGTAAGTGACATTTGTTAGTAGTTTTCAGCAAAAGTTAACTACAAGGGAAAGGGAAATATTTGTCTTTATCTTTCTTTTCCCCTTGACCTAGTCCTGTGTTCACCCCTCTTCTTGGTATTTCGAAGGAGGAAGTTCAGTAGCATCTTTCTTTATATTATACCTCTTTAGATCTGTCTTAGTGACAAGTGGATATTATTATATGTATCTTTACAGAGAAACAGGAGGACCCGATAAATTCAAATTTACCCCACTCTACAGATAGCAGCCTGTCACATTTCAAGGCTCAATCCTTAACCTCACCTCCCACTCTCAATAGGAAATAATGTTTCTGCCCTTAGTCATTTTCCACGAGAAAGGAGTGCTTTTCTTGTCCCTGAACTGAAAGGCTTCTTATTTGTATTTCTACAACTAGTAACTGGGAAAAAGACAATCACTGCATTCTGAGTGTTTGTATCTTTATATCTAGGGACACTGAAAGGCAAATGTTGCTTTACTACTATTTTTTACTATTTTATTTTAGTGTCTTACCCCAAGGTACACATTGGTCATCACCAGCCAGATGAGTAAAAGAAAAGGAAATTCTAGCAAGTTTCATATTTTCTTCCAAGTTAGTATAGGAGTAACTGTAGGAAGTATGGGGATTGCTTTGGATTCCTCCAGCGAAATATTAAAGATGGGAGAGAGAGGGCAGTGTAGTGACAGAAGATGATTATTTGTCTCAGAATAAACTTGCTTTTCAGATAAAGAGCGTTTCAGATAAAGAGCAGCTTAAACCAGGTGTGCATCATAGTTTGGGAGTTTTTGTGTAATTTATTCCATATTATTTATTTGGGCTCATCATGTTTTCTTTGGTTAGGATCCTGCAAGTCATTCATCTTCCTAATGCGTTTCTGGTTTTAAGCCAACTGTTCTTTCTTTCTTTGACCTTCTCAAGCCTCTCTGCCCTGTAGCTTTCCCCCCACAAAAATGCATGATACCATGACCTTGTAAGTGGGGTGGGGTATATAGTGTAGCAAAGCAAAGAAACAGTACAGTTATATTGAGTCCTAAGACATTTGTTTAGAGAAAAGTATAAGAGTGTGGGGGTGGGGGGAGGGAAAGGGAGAGTTCTTTCTGACTCGAAACTGGGATAGGTTTTTTCTTCCTTTGCAGAAAAGTGGGATGTTTTTTTATTCTAGAATAAAAGAATGTGAATTCTTTTTGCTGCTCTCATTTAAGCTAAAAGTAGTGTTTACTTGAAAAGGCTCTCTGACCATTTGATTTTATCAGAAAATGCGGGGTTGTCAGGACAGTGGCTTCCTGAATGTTGGGGCAGGGCTATTGTCCTCAAAAGCATGATAGCTAATACATGAAAGAAGGACCTTGTTGTACAGTTTAAAAGATGGACTTTTAAGGGTTGGTTTTTTTGTGGCGTGTTTTTTGGTTTTTTTTTTAAGCCACAAAATCCTCAATGCATTTGTTTCAAGATGGAAGTGAGGATTTGTATGTGACTTGTCAGCTGTTGTTAACGTTAAGGAAATCTGTCTACAGCAGTAAATGAAGACAACAATGTATATATGTGATATAGTGAAACAAAAAAGACAATTCTGGTATTCATAACATGAAACAAAGGGGTTTTATTCTTTCTTTGTCTGTGATTTAAAACTCCGTGCCCATGCTCTGACTTTTGTATTTCAACCTGAGTTTAAAAAATAAACAAGATTTTTTTAAAGAAAGCATAGCATAGTGTATCTTGGCAAGGACATGATTCATATGCAAGCAGAATATGTGAAGTTGTTACTAACGTCCTTGGTGCTCACTGTAAAATCACAGACAGAGAATCAGTGGGTGGGGGTCATGAATACACTGGTACCACTTAAAACACAGTGATACAGTATCAGAAATTGAGTCCTTGAGTATTTTGTAAGAGTTTACTCTTCAGTCAGCTTAGATGAAACCTGTCTCCCTGCTCTGCTCTGCCCTCCCAAAAGTTGAGAATAAACAGAATTTGGTTTGTTTCCAGGGAGGGTAAAATGATAAGAGAATAGGCCTTTTATCCTTTCCGATCCCAGGAATACAATGTTTGTGATATATATGGTACAGCAAACCTATCTAGATAATGTGAATATGCTAAACTTCTAATTGCAAAATATTCACTATCAATCCTGAAGTTACTGGTTCATGCAGAATTAAGCTTCAGCTGTTATTGTTTTGAAGCCGCTGTAAATTACTGCTTTTTCCCCTTTTTTCTTCCCCTCCTCCCCCTCCCCCCTTTTTTCGAATGGGCTGGGGTGCCTGTTAAGATTCAAATTAGATATGTTGGATTGATATTCTCACGTGTTCAGTGTGGAAAACAAAACAAGTACATGCTTTAGAGGCAACAACAATGAAATCCTTTTGAAATGTGTATTAATATCATTTAATAAAATAACTAGTTCTAAAGGTTTGACATTTTTCTTTGAGATCTGGGGCTTTGACCAAGGGCCCCTGGCTTCTCTGGTGAGTGCAAATAGGAGGGAACTTCTCCAGGAGTTGAAACTGCTGCTTTGTGGAACAGGCCTATGGTTGGAAAGACCTAAATTTTCTCCAGCAAAGACCCTACATGACTGTCCAGGGCTGAAGGTGAAACCAGCTACAGAATGCAGGAAGAAAAGCCTGGATATATCTCTGAAGATACAATTGTATTGGCTTTTGGTCTAAGAGTGCATGGAGGGTAGAGGGGCTGGTGTATGTGCCTGCACGGTTCTAAGGCAAACACAGGTGCCACAGACCACCCATCTCATCCCTTCCTTGTGACCACTTGCCCTTTCCTCTCTTCCAGCCATTCCTCTTTTTTTTTTTTTAATCTCTTTGCCCCAAAAATTGTTTTTGTTTCCTGTTTAATAAAAGTATGGTTTCCTTTGTTGTGTGGTTGACTTTTCCCCTCTCGCACTGATCTTGTCCAGCTGTCGTCCCCTTTGACTTCTGCAGTCAGTGTCACTGAAGGCAGTCTGAGCCTCTTGAGATCTTTATGGCCTTGTGGTTTTCTCTTTGATCCTTTATGAAACTCAATTTTGAAAGGGATGATGGGTGGGGTGAGATCAAGATGTTCAGGGAATGGTTGGTAATGAAGTGGGTATACTGTATGGATGATAACTTGTGTTATGTCTTCAAAAAGTTGTACAGTTGTGAGCGAAGAAGCATTTTTAAAGCAAACAAAATTGGGGTAGTGGTGATAGGGATCCTCTGGCCAATTCTTTGCCCACATCTACCCTTCTTGCATATTGACAGTCTGTCATACAGAAGCTACACTCAACCCCTCTCTTGCCCCATCCCTTTTTCATAACCCAGTGAGGCTTAATAAATGGAATGTTGGCTTAAGGGGTAAAGAGAGTTGGTGCGTCTAGACCAGGCTGGGTCACTGGCAGGGTAGAACGCTCTAAATAGCATCCTTGAATAAGTGAAGCTACAGATGTGTCACCAGACACTTCAGAAATAGCAGCCTAGGAACACACCCAGCAGGTAGGGTGTACCACTATGCCAGCTGCTTCTGGAATCTGGCTCACCCTTCCTGGTCCCCAGTTGGGACCTTGACTTGCCCTCCTGCTTCCTGTCTCCACCCCAAGGAAGCAACAGCTTTTAGAATTCCTCATCGGCCTTTCTGGGCATGTTGAAAACACATAACTTCCCCAAAATTGTTCTATTTAAGCCAATATGGTATAGAAGGAATGAATTACCCCCTCATGTGTGTAGACAGAATAACACAAACACTATCTGAATGGGTTTTAGGGTATTGAGGCGTTTCTCATACTTGTTTATGAGTAACTGTATGGACAAGTACGGTCAGCTGCTGTTCACAATTGCTGAGTAATAACTCATTGAGTCTGCACAGACAAAGCTGCAAGAGGGATACCCATAAGTGAGATGGCTCCTAAGTAGACATCCTGTTCTCCCCCCACATAGAAGCAGAAAGAAGCACATAATGCCTTAAAGGAAAGGAGCAAGTGCAGTGTAGAATTAAATATCAATTTCTGACGAACTGCTCGGGGAGGACAGAAGAAACCTTTAATGCTTAGTTACAAGTTTGAGGGGAAGGGGATAAGAAGGCTGAGACCTATCTAGAAACATATTACAGTTACCTTACAGTTCTATTTTATTTTTTTCCTGTCCTTTGTTATCACTGTGGTAAGAGTCAAACGTTGAGAACACAGATATGGGTGGAGGGGCTAGTGAGCAGTGCCAACAGAGAGAACAAATACAGGCTGCAGTTGTTTGTGTTTGACTTAAAAGGGTGTTGGCTAAATCACCCTGGATCTGCTGAGGTTCCTAGCAAATTAGAAGTTCCAACCACATTACCTCCTTTCCATTCCCCATTGGATCCCCTTCTTTTTGAGAATTAAGTCCTTTGCCACATAATTTGTGGGAAGGAGATAAGACTTGAAACTTCCTACATTTTTCTTCTTGGAGTATTTCAGTTGGAATGGGTAGAAAGAAGATGGGCAGCATCCAGTTCCTTCTGTTTTCTCCTCCCCTGGCTAGGAATCCTTTGCATCCACATGAGGCAATACTTAAGGTCCCATTTTCTAGGTAGCCAATCATTGTCAAAGGCAGTAGAGATTAATGAAGTATTAATTTGAAATCTTGGATTTTTGGGTAGTGGGCCGTAGTTGTATATAGTCTTCCGTAGATGTAGCTAGGGCCTTCTTTCAGAGTACTTTGCTCTTTGCTTTTGTTTTTTGGGTTTTTTTACTTCAGCATCAAACAAATTGGCACTGACTCCTGTGTTTGGGAGACTTCATATTTTTCCGTTGGTCTTGACCTGACCAACCAGGGTCATTTAAAAGGCAGGGTGGAGATGGCTGTTTCCTTGTTTCTCAGACTCAAGAAATGTCTTGGGAAAGAGAAATGTTAGTAGAGATTTTTAGGTGAGCCAAAGGTTTTGTCTTCAAAGTTCAATTTATCCCCATGCTCTGGGTAGGAAGCTTCCCCCTCTTGATTTATTCAGCAAACTTGGCTGGACTTTCTCTGTGTAGCATCTTTAAAGCAAAGTTAAAGTTTGGCTGTGTCCTAGATCCTCATTACTAAGGAAAAAAAAATTTTTTTTTAACCTAAACTCCCCACAGTACCTACTGTAGGCTTAACCACTTGGCTAGTTCTTTGGGCCTCAAAAGCATTTGGTGGCAATGATGTAAACCTTTCTTTATGTATTTTATCTTACATTTCTCTATTTTACCTCCAATACCTTTTAAAATTTCTTTGGTGCAGGGAAATTTTGCTTCTAAAAACTAAGATTTGGAGGTAATGTGTTGATCCTGATAACAAGTGGGAAATGTACTTTACCTTCAATGGAGAGAATTCTTAAAAATAGTTTAACGTTATAAAAACAATACCTCCTCAACCAAAGCTTTAGCTAACAGGATGTCTATTCTAAAAGTGGAGTAAAGCTGAGAATTTCCCAAAATTAAGGGTCTAGTATACCCTTTACTGAGGATTCCCTTTTCCCTAGACTTCTGTGAAATCTTCTGCCATTATTTCCTAAACTCTTCTTTTTCCTTAACCTTAGTGTGGTAGAGGATATTTGGTAAGAT